CTTTCTTTCTTTCTTTCTTTCTTTCTTTCTTTCTTTCTTTCTTTCTTCTTTGCCCCAGGACTTTTAGGTGTGCCTTTAAGTTGCTTGTATGAGATGCCTCCAACTACTTTCTGGAGACACTTAATGCTATGAACATTCCTCTCAGCACTGCTTCACTGTGTCCCATAAGTTTGGATAAGTTGTATCTTCATTGTATCTTCATTTTCATTGACTTATAGAATTCTCTAATTTCTTTTTTCATTTCTTCCCTGACCAAGCTGTCATTGAGAAGAGAGGTGTTTAGCTTCCATGTCTATGTAGGCTTTTTCTTATTTCTGTTGTTTTTGAGGTCTAGTTTTAGGTTATGGAGGTCTGATAGGATACAAGGGATTATTTCCGATCTTCTTGTATCTGTTGATGCATTCTTTGTGCCTGACTATCTGGTCTATTTTTGAGAAGGTTCCATGAAGTGCTGAAAAGAAGGTATATTCTTTTGAATTTGGGTGAAAAGTTCTGTAGATATCAGTTAGATCCACTTGATTTAGGACCTCTGTACGAGTCATTATTTACCTATTTAACTTCTCTCCAGATGATCTGTCCCTTGGTGAGGGTGGAGTGTTGAAGTCTTCCACTATTAAGGTATTGGGATCAATGTGTGCTTTAAGGTTTAATAATGTTTCATTTATAAATGTAAGTACTCTTGTATTTGAGGCATAGATGTTTAGCATTGTGATGTTCCCCTGGTGGATTTTTTTTCCTGTGATGAGAATTAAGTGCCCCTCCTCATCTTTTTTGATGAATTTTGGTTGAAAGTCTATTTTATTAGTTATTAGGATAGTTACCCCTTACCCCAGCCTGTTTTCTGGGTCCATTTGTTTGAAAAATATTTTTCCAGCCTTTTACTCTGAGGTGGTGTTTATCTTTGTTGCAGAGGTGTGTTTCTTTGATATAGCAAAATGTTGGATCCTGTCTCCAGCCTTTTACTCTGAGGTAGTGTTTATCTTTGTTGCAGAGGTGTGTTTCTTGGATATAGCAGAATGTTGGATCCTGTTTCCACAACCATTCTGTTAGTCTGTGTCTTTTTATTAGAAAGTTGAGTCCATTGATGTTGATAGATCATAGTGACCAATGAATGTTAGTTCCTTTTATTGTGGAGTTGGTGGTGTCACTGTGTTTCTATGCTTGTTTTCTTTTTTTTGTTGTGAAGTTATCTATATGCTGTGTTTTCTTGAGTGTAGTTATTATAGTTTTATCTTCTTCTTATGTAGGAAGGTAGGAATGATTATCCTATTGTCCTCCCCTCTTTTGACATTGGCAAGCTTGTAATAGAGAATTCCTATGGTAGTAAAAAATATCTTCCTTTTTTCCAATAGGGAAACCTGTGGCAGCTGGAGAATTCTGGGACATAGTTGCCATAACAGCAGCAGATGAAGAGCAGGCTCTGGCTTACAAGCAGCAGTTGTCAGAGAAGCTGAAGAGAAAGGAATTACCCCTTGGCGTTCAATATCACGTTTTCGCTGATCCTGCTGGAACCAAAATTGGTATACATTTCATGGGGATGTTTATAACAGATTCTGAGTAAAAATAATAATTGAAAGATAAGTTTTCTGTGCTCAGAGTTTATAAACTGTTCATCTTCACATGTGGCCTTTAAAAACTTTAAAATATGAAAATTAATAAGATGGAAGTTCAAATAATGGTTCTGAACCACTGTGACTTGCAAGGAAAGCCTTCAGGAAAATTATTTAAAAGAATTTTCTTCCTTTCAATGCAATTTACACTAGATCTCATTAAACATTGTCTTGGGGTCTTTGCCAACCCAGCAGTTTCCTGAAGTAGTTACATAAAGAAAACAAATCAGAAAATTTATGTATGTACTTGTCCTCTTAGAACCAAAATACAGGATACAAACAAGCTAGCTCCAGTCACATAAAGTTCTTAGACCCTTGTTCAATTCAACTGTGTTATCATTGCAAATAAAAACATTTTATCTTACCATTGATTCCTTAAGGAGAGAATTGCAAATAATTTCCTCTACTTTTTATTGAAACACAATATTCCTCTAGTATTTACTTCTTTATTTGCTATGTTTAGCTTGTAAATAGTATGATCTTTATAGAAATGTATCCCTAAATTTGTGGTTCATGTGATAAGAAGAGCTGAAGTCTCTTCATAGCAGGAAGAAGGTGCATGCACATGGCATTGACTTCATTCCAATCACCCACTCTTGGTTTGATCTTCACTAGAGCAAGGCCAGCTCAAGGAAAAATGGATTTACAGAGTGGTAGTAATGTTTAAAATATTTTGTGCAAACCAGGTTTTTACATATATAAAAAATCTAGTGTGTTGGGATATGTTATGTGGAAGAAGTCATTAAGCAAGTTTTATGCTTGACAACTGCATATGAATTCACAGTCTCCAGTCACAGACTGTGTCAATTATCACTTCTTTCATTACTGTTCTTTAGAGATTGTTACCTGCTACTTGCTGTGTTTCTTGATTAGCTATTTGCTTGCTTATTTACCATGACTAATCTGTTCTTCTGCTGATACCTTTTCAATCTATCGACCCTATATTGACAAAATTCATATCTTCAAAATTGTGACATTAAATATATCATCATAACAGAATTATACTTTTCTGTGAAGTAAATTATGCTTTTGAATTGTTTTTAAGGAAATGGAGGATCAACACTTTGTTCCCTTCAGTGTCTAGAAAGACTCTATGGAGATAAATGGAATTCCTTCCTGGTCCTGTTAATTCACTCTGGTAACTATTTATTCATTTACATTTGTGCTGGAGTTTTCTACCTTTGATCCCTTAGAGACTTTATCTCGCTGTCAAATGATTTCCCCCATCTTATTTTGTCTTAAATTCACTGATGGTATTTTACTTGGGTAACAAATGTTCATGGTTTCTTTGTTGTTGTTGTTTTTTTTTTTTCTTTTCTTTTCTTAATGTTAAGTATAGTAAGATTTTTACAAAATTTATTCTTAACATTGTAGATTATATACAGCAACAACCTTAATGGATATTTTATCATTTCATTCTTGGTAAATAGAAAATTACTTTTTACAAAACTTGTGAAAATTTGAACATTTCTCAGGGGTCTTGGGATTTTTGTTATGGAAGGAAATTGATGATGGGGGTGATAATTACATTTTGTCAAAACCTCTACCTTGCATTTTTCATATTATTCTATAATACCTAAGTGTTTTAGAAACAAAAGAAAAAACAACAAAATAGTTATCAAGTTTAAATATATACATTTAAATTTATATTTTTTCATATATATATATATATATATATATATATGATTTCAAATGAGAAAAGTCAGGACATTGTCAGAATAGTGGGTAGGTTTTTAAACTCATTACACAGAATTATATGAAGTTTTTGGTTGCATAGAAACTTCTGTTGTTTGTGTCTATATTCCAGGGCTTAGTATTGGCCTGGGACATATAATTTAGAATAGTCATATTCATAGTTTCAAAGATGCTTTTTAATTCTGAGTTGCATATACAGTAAGATGACTATTTATACAGGTGACATCAACATAGGACATCCAAGTCCTGGTTTCAAGAAAAATTTAAAATGTAGAACAGTTCACTGTCTTATAGAATAAAGGTCTTTATTATGAATTAGTGAAATTAATTGGATATTAGAAAAATAAATAGAAATATACTGGGCCCTCTGAATTCTGGTATTCTCTCCATCTCTGCAGACTCAGGCAACCATGGACAGAAAGTATTTCAGGGGAAGTAAAACTATGTCTATACCAAATATGTGTACTTTTTCATAATTTCTGGAATATCACTATATAAGCATTGTTTATGTCAATATAGATGGTATAAATATATTATCCAGGAAGATAGTGTGGGACACATGCAAATATGCCATTTCAGGGCAGAGAGGCCAGTGTCCTCAGATTTTGGTGTCTGCTCTGGGTTATGAATTAGTCTCTACAGATGTGAAGAATGGCTATGGAGAATTCTGTTAGTATAAATTTTACTGTAGTCTGGTCTTTGGAAAAGGGAAAGAATTAAAATTGTCTTAGCTCTTGTTTCTTGAATAGTGTGCTATGTACAAAGCACTCTACACAGTGGTCTCATGAAAGCACAGAGGACATAGCAAATCGTCAGGTGAAGGCTGGAGCCTGCTGAGGCACCAGTGAGCTCGCGCACAGGACTCCTTCCCAGTCCATGAGTCTGCATTTCATTGCACTGCTTCCCGGTACATAAATCCGCATTGCACTACACACCTCTCTTTACATGCAAAGAATGCAAAACATTTCCTGTGTGTAAGAGAACATGTTTTAGGAGTCCGGACATAATGATGTTCATCTTGGAGGGTAAAAACCAAGTGAAAAAGTAAAAAAGTGTTATAATTTAAAAAAAAAAAAAAAAAGTACTTAAGCCAATTTGCCTTTGCTTTCTTTGAGTGTGTTTCATAAATTGAAGACAATGCATCATGAAATGGATATTTAACAGAGAGGTACATTTTGAAACTGTTAAACTGCATTAGTCTTTCACACTCTAGTACATCCCTAGCATATCACTTGAACCATGTTTGGAATGCATTTGTTAGCAATATGCATGGAAGATCAAGTTTAAATGTGGTCCTTGTTAGTTATGCAATTGGTTCTGAACACCTGCTAGCCATGTTCTGTGTGTCTGTGGATTACATCCTGACCTGGAGTGCTTAAAATTGTATTACATCACATTGCAGTAAAAGAAGAACTATTGGATGTTTTTTAAAGTCTAAACTTTGTAATTCTATGCTGAATTTTGATTAAATAGTATTAAATACCATCAGAGGAATGTTATACTGTAAGTGGTGCCATCAGATTTTGAAAATCTCTTAAAGAACATATTTTAAATACTTTGCAAATTTTTATAGGTGGCTACAGTCAACGCCTTCCCAATGCAAGTACTTTAGGAAAAATCTTCACAGCATTCCCACTTGGTGAGCCCATTTATCAGATGTTGGAGTTAAAGCTAGCCATGTACATGGATTTCCCCTCACACATGAGGCCTGGAGTTTTGGTCACCTGTGCAGATGATATTGAAGTATACAGTGTTGGGGACTCTGAGTACATTGCATTTGACCAGCCTGGCTTTACTGCCTTAGCCCATCCTTCTAGCCTGGCTGTAGGCACCACACATGGAGTATTTGTCTTGGACTCTGCCGGTTACTCACAGCATGGTGACCTCGAGTACAGGCAGTGTCATCGTTTCCTCCATAAGCCCAGCGTTGAAAACATGCATCGCTTTAACGCTGTGCATAGGCAAGGAAGCTTTGGTCAGCAGGATTTGGCTAGGGGTGACACTGCCTGTCTGCCATTGCACACTGAGTATGTCTACACAGATAGCCTATTTTACATGGATCATAAGTCAGCCAAAAAGCTTCTTGAATTTTTTGAAAGTGTAGGCCCACTGAACTGTGAAATAGATGCCTATGGCGACTTTCTGCAGGCACTGGGGCCAGGGGCAACTGCAGAGTACACTGAGAACATGTCACATGTCACTGAAGAAGAGTCTCAGTTGGTAGACATGAGGCGGAAAATATTCCACCTCCTTAAAGGAACACCACTGAATGTCATTGTTCTTAATAACTCCAGGTTTTATCACATTGGAACAACAGAAGAGTACCTGCTTCATTTCACTTCTGATAGTATGTTAAAGTCAGAGCTGGGCTTACAGTCCATAGCCTTCAGTGTCTTTCCAAATGTCCCAGGATGCCTCAGTGAAAGGTCCTGTGTCATCCATAGCATACTGGATTCAGGGTGCTGTGTGGCCCCTGGTACAGTTGTAGAGTACTGCAGACTGGGGCCTGAGGCATCCATTGGGGAAAACTGCATTATTAGCAGTTGTGTCATAGCAAAAGCTGTTCTGCCAGCATATTCTTTTGTTTGCTCTTTAAGTGTAAAGATAAATGGGCACTTAGAATATTCAACCATGGTGTTTGGCACACAAGACAATTTGAAAAACAGTGTTAAAACCCTGACAGATATAAAGGCACTTCGGTTCTTTGGAGTCTGTTTTCTGTCTTGTTTGGACATTTGGAACCTTAAGGCCACTGAGGAACTGTTCTCAGGAAATAAGGCCCACCTGAGCCTGTGGACTGCTCGCATCTTCCCTGTCTGCCCGTCTCTGAGCGAGTCAGTCACAGCATCCCTTGGGATGTTGAGTGCTTTAAGGAGCCGTTCACCATTCAGCCTGAGCAACTTTAAGCTGCTTTCCATCCAGGAAATGCTTGTCTACAAAGATGTACAAGACATGCTAGCTTATAGAGAGAAAATTTTTCTAGAAATTAGTTCAAATAAAAAACAGTCAGTATTGGAGAAATCTTAAAACAATGCATTTTGCCTGTGAACAAGATAGCAAATGCAGGCATTTTTTTTTTTGACACCTGATTTTTTTTTTTTTTTGCTTGTTTCAGTAATTCAATATAATAAATACTGCATTTATAGAACTGGTATAGCATGGTAATGAGAAAGGTACAGGTGAACACTTCTGCAGGAAGAACAGTTCAGGATTGAATTCAGAAAAGTGATGCAGTGTTAGAAGTTTGTACTATCTGAATTTTGTTTCTTGGTAACGATAATTTGTGGGGTACTGTTTCATTCACAAAGTAAATATTGCTTGTGTGGGGTATGATTTTCTAAACACACCTTTAGTTTTTCTACCTTGTTTTGGAATTTGGTCCAACAAAGTTGTAGGTGTTACTGATGACAGGATTACTTTACTTGTCACAGTGAGACAATACTTAGCACAACATCATTACACATTTTTGAAAGAAACATGTTATTTTTTTTTAGATTTTGTTCTGTTTTGATTGTATGTATGTGAGTGTGTTACCGTCATGTCTGTATGTGCACCACATGCTTGCAGTGCCCGTGAGAGGCTAGGACAGCTATTTCCAACCTATGTCTCACAACCCCCTTAGGGGTTGAAACAGTCCTTTTACAGAGGACACCATCAGAAAACATAAATATTTACATAATGATTTGTAACAATAGCCAAATTGCATCTATGAAGTAGCAACAAAAATTATGGCTAGGGGTCATCCCATCATGAAGAACTTCATTAGAGGGTAGGAGCATTAGAAAGGTTGAGAACCTCTGGGCCAGAAGAAGGCATTGGGCCTCTTGGAACTAGAGTTATAGGTGGCTATGACCTCTATGTTGGTTCTTTGAGTCAAACCGTGGTCCTCTGAAAGTGCTATAAAATGATGTTTGTGCCTCACAGATCTTGCCAGAATGAGATAAGAAGCATGTGTGTATTATTTTATTCTTATACACTTTAACATATTGCCATATTTTATAAACTATGCCGCTCTATTAAACTGAAAATACATACACAGAAATCAGTTGTCTGCTCAGTAGTAGGAACAGTTTAGAACCAGAGCTCTCTTCACCACGGACATTAGTCCTCTCTCAAGTAATCCTGCAACAGGACTCTTGCATTGCCAATGGGCATTTTGCTTTACATCATTTTGTGTCCACAGTGGGAGTGCTGACAACAAACAGTTGGCCCAAAGAAAGGAAGTTAGAATAGGAAATCTGAGAAAATACTCAGATCATACATAACTTCAAGGAAATAAAACGTGACTGGATTTCCAGGTTATGTGCACCTAGTTTGAAATAAGCACATTTGTGAAATGTCTTTAGATTGAAGTTTAATAGAGGCAAGACTTGTCTTTAAATTACCTTAAGTAAACTGGAATAACTGCTGTGACAATTTTATTTATGTATATATTTTCATAAAAATCTGTCAAAACCCCTCTACTATCTTAACTTATATATAAATATGTATTTGTCTTTTTGAGGTTTCCAGGGATAAAGTGTGATACTGTTTGACAATTTTAGATTTACTTACAGAAATTTCAATGGATGTTGAATGTTATTAAGTGTTTAAGACTAATTTTACTTCAAATCCTGTCAAGGATCAGAATTACAATTTCATGTTCTAAGAAAAAAAAGCATCATTATTAATAAAGAGTAGCATCACTTCCTTGGTTACTTGAATTTCTTGTATTTATTACATCTCTCTTGTACTAAGACATGATTTTGTCATATCAGCGTATGTACATAAAGGAACAAATAACATGTAATATACAGATATACTCAAAAACATTGTACATTTTAGAGGAAAGGTCTTACTCTTCTAAAGCACTCAGAAATCAACTCATATTTATTAATAAACAGCTGTCCCTCAAGCTCTAGCCACTGTGACTTTGGGTATTTGCAAGGCTGTGGTTAAACTTTTCTATACCTTAAGAATTTCATACATGAATACAATTAATATGGTCATGTCTGTCCTTCATCCCCTCAACACTCCCATATACCACCAACATGTGTCTCTCCCTCACAACTTAATGTCTTTTTTGTTTTCATAACCTACTAAGTCCAGTTAGTGCTTGCTATATCTACATTGGTGTGTGGCCACGTGCTGGAACACGGCACGTCTGTCAGTAGTCACATCCTCAAAGACACAGTGACTCCCCTTCCTCTAGAAACTGTCAACTCCAGATTAGTCCCTGAGAAGGAGTGGGCCCTGGAATTATCTGCTTCCACTGCTGGATTTTGTGTGCTTCTGGTTAGTTTTAATTTATCATTTTCCTGCCCAGAAAAGAAGTAAAGCATTTAAATCTTGAGGCAAAAATCTTTTAAAACACAGCTCTGTTGAAATCAACTGCTCGTTTTCATTTGCAGGTTGACAAATGCTGTGCATCTCAATGGAGTTTTACATGAGTGGTTTTCTGCTTATTGCTTGTAGCCGTGGGGTTTGGGAAAGTAAATTGTAGCCACAAATATGCTGTTTTTCAGATGGGTTTCAGAGTAATTGTAGGAAAAACCTAAAACCTGGAAAACTACAAAAATATGATTATATTTTAGGGTCTGAATGCAAATTCTAATACACTGGCCTTCTGACAAAGTCATAAATTAACTTACAGATTTCCTAATTACACATCTCTCCAATCAGCTTTATTAAAGTTTAAGAAGAAATTATAATTGGTTAGAGTTGGTTGAACTTCTAGTGAACTAAAATCTAATTCAGTGAGGAGCTGTTAGCAGAAGTGGCCCTGTAAGGAGGGAGAAAAAAAAACAGAGCTTTAATGACATTTTTCTCTCTTGTTTTAACTGGTGCCCAAACACATGTACACCACACCACACACACACACACATACCACACACATTTACACATACCACACACACACAATGTATGGCTGGGTTTTACAACAGAACTACTAACTTGTGAAGGCATGCAGGCTTCTTCATCCTAGATTACAACTGTGGTGTCATATGCTATGCACACCTGCAGGCTTGAATTTGATCCTCTGAACCCACGGTGAAAGAAGAGAACTGATTTCCTGAAGTTATCCTCTGACCTTTACAGACATGCTAGGGCACACACGTACTTGCAAACACACACACACACCGCAACAAAAAACAGCTGTGTCATTGCCTCAGGATGTATTCATTTCTGTATTTTGACCACATTTTTGAATTTTGTCTATTAGTGAACATAGTGCATCTAATAACAAATTTTATATTTAGATAGGCACTTGTTTACACCATTTCCCACCCTCTCTCCATGGAAAATTACAACAGACCTCTTCATTTAGATATCTCTCTTTATAATACTAAAGAAGCTTTTCAATTTATGATACAACCACCTACAGAATCTTAAGCTTTACCCATGACAACCTTTCCTTCAGCCATTTCACCCAGTTCTCTAGGGAATCTACTGTATGTTGAAATCACAATCAAAGTTCAGTCACATTTGCCTATTACTGAGCTATGATCATTACCAATCTAAACAGTCCTTTTATAAATAATATAATCCCTTCTACACACTAATAATTAACTAATTGAATTTTACAGTTTTATATGAAGACAGTTATAAAGAGATCACAAAGGGAAATATAGAAGATTGGCATTGAGTTGTGTTGAACACTGAAAAGAAAAAGACATCAACTTTGTTGATTGGTCTGCCTTTAAATCCTGCTTTTCTCTGTTAAAGGATGAAGATGCATACTAGTCCTAACATCCTGTGGTTTTTTCATGTGCTCCTGTGCCTGGGGATCAGAAATGTCTTTCCTTTGCTCATTGTCTTTCTCTTTGCAGACTATGCAACCATATGTCAGCTGGAACTTTGTTAGATAGAGGAAACATTACCTTAGACTATGGTAAATTCCAGGGATGTCCAGATCTCCCAATGTCTGAAATTCTTGGATCATGTATCATCATACACACCATGACTATAAACATTTTTTTTTCTTTCTAATGAACTGGATCTTCAGGGACTTGGCAAGTGGTTGTATCACAGTTCTGTGGCTCTCCTGTCTACTGTTGAGTGAATAGGTCTGGAATTTTTTTCATACATGTTGTATCCCCCATTCTCTTAATAAAATAAACCATCTTTACACAAGTTACATATTCTACAAATTGCTTAGAATAATTTGAGCTACAGATGAAAGCATAGTAGTAGAGAAAAGGCTATGTACCAGTGAGGCCAACACAGAACTGATAAATCATTGTTCTTAGGAGTCCTTCACTATCTTCATTATCAAGAGTATATTCACTGGCTGTTTTACTGTAATCCAAACTTTTTTCTTTTACAATTCCTGTACTCTTGGCCAATATCCTTAACTAAGCATGAGCACATTCAATAATATCTCTCAGAACGTAAGTTATTCTGATACTAATAAATTGTCCAGTTCTGCTCGCTCTCACTTTAGAGCATGTATTCCCAATCTGTGGATCACAACCCCTTTAGGACTGCATATCAGATATCCTGTATATCATTACATTACAATTCATAACAGTAACAAAATTACAGCTAGAAAGAAGCAATGACATAATTTTATGGTTGAGGGTCACCACGCACGGGGAACTGTATTAAAGAGTCACAGCAGTAGGGAGGCTGAGAATCACTGCTTTAGGCTGATCATCACACATCCAAGGAATTTTCGTTACCAATATCCCCCTTCCATTGGTGCAGCTCCCAGCCCACAAATGACATGCTTAACCTAAAGAGTTGGGTGTACAGTAGACTAGTGCAAAGACATGCTCCTGTGGTCATCATTTGATTGTTCCCATCAGTCTCTCATAACTGGCTCTGCTTACTGCCGGAAGATAATCTCTTTGTCGACAGAAGGACGTTCCTTAAGCTGAATTGAATAGATCCTTTGAGTAGTAACACATGGCCTACTTTTAGACAATAAAAATTATGATAGCCTATTTTCATCAACTGAATCTGAGAGATTTTTTCACCTACTACCCTGTGTAAGAAATTTCAGAGACCTGCAGTGTCCAAAATACCAACTGTCACAGTATGACTTCAGAGAAGCTACAACTTCTGAGACTAGTTCAGGTATAGCTCACTGCTCATAAGCTTATCTTCACGTTTGAAGTTTTATGAACATTTTGCCTTTTCCAAATGCATCGTAATTTAATAATAACATACTAGTGAATGTGGCAGTTTCTTTGTAATATTTTATTCTTATGATCAAGGACACCATTTCTCCCTCCTGTGCACTGCTCTTTGCCTATAATACTGGACTAGCCTCATGATTCCACAAGTCATTATTATTTTCCAATTAAATAATTTTTAAAAAACCTTTCTCAACTCTTTACTAGTTATTTTTGTGTTTCTCTTACACTAAAATCCCTGGGACAGATGGTCTGAACTCCCATTCACTCTCCGGCACTATTCAGGTGCTCATTGCTTGGTAGCTTGAATGAGAACATCTCCCATAGACTCATGTATTTGGACACTTGGTCCCCAGTTTTCAGTGTTGTTTTGGGAGTAAATGTGGCCTTGTTGGAGGAAGTAGTCATTGGAGACTTTGAGGGATTAGAAACTGACATAAGAAAAGTGGAGGTGGAACAACTCACAGCGGGAGCTTTGCTACATGACTGAAGCATACACGTCATGACCCATATGCCACACTGTCATAAGGGCACATGGGGAAGGGGTACATTGGACAAGGAGCTCTTTGTAGCTGAGACTATCTGGATGGGGCTCACAGCTGAAGCTCATCTTCCAATAGCGCTGCAGTAGCTAAGGTAAATCACTGCAGAAGGCTCTGGGTATCAGGTTGCAATGTCCACCACAACTTACAAGACACAGTGATATCTAAAGTTTTTTCTTTCTAAAGCCTGTTCTGATAATGCAAGATGAACAGTGATGACTCACAATAATCATATAATACCCTCCAAATTTTAGTGGACTCAATCTGCAGTGAGAGAATAAATCATGCTTTAGTAAATGTGTCAATCACTGACTCAGAGAAGCAATATTTTATAATACTGTCACAAATCTACATGATAATCCCTAGTGCCAGCTTTCACTTTTGACTAGCTGAAAAAGCTAAAATATTCATAAATTCACATGAAGCCAGATGGCTTTCCACTGAATATGCATATGAATGATCTCTTTACATTATTTATTCAAAGAAGCACACAAAATATACCATCATCGTGGCACAGACTGCTGATAAGTTTGTTGAAGAAAAGAATCAAGGAATAACAGGTGTCTAATAACTATATTTTGTGCTGAACCTTGATTTCACATGTATCTGCGAATTACAGTAAAATCGGTGTAATTACTTGTATTAGTTCCTGAAATATTTAGAATATGAAATGTGTTTGAGAGAGATACAGTTTTAACTTTTCAATCAGAAATTTTTAATTTTATTTAAAATTTTCACAATTAAAGTTAAGTTATAGTCTTTAAAAAACTTTCTTTGGTCTCTGAGGTTTCACATGTATGGTTTAGGTACCAAGGTGACTGTGGCCTCATAGAATGAGGTTGGTAATGTTCCTCGGTTGCCTGCTCTTTGATCACATCCCCCTGGTGAGGTAGCCTTACTAGGCCACAGAGAAAAAGGATACAGACAGTCCTGATGAGAGGCTGGGGTCAGATAGAAGGAGAGGAGGTCCTCCCCTCTTAGTGGAAAAGGGAGGGAGGGACATAGGAGGAAAAAGAGGAAGGGAGGGTGGCACCAGGAGGAGATGAG